GCTGGTGTTACAAAATACTCCATGCTACAAAGAAGGAAAAGCTGTAATGAACAGTTTTTGGCACTGTAACAGACAGGCATTTTGAAATGCCTATCTGTTACAATCCCAAAAAACTGATTTCTACAGATTTCCCTTGGTTGTAACAAGCAGGCGTTTTAAAATGCCTTTCTGTTACAATGCTAAAAACTGTTTATTTCAGATTTTCCCTGGTTGTAACACAGAGCGTTTCAAAATGCTCCATGTTACACCCAGGAAAATCTGAAAAAATATAAATTCTTGAGTGTAGCAGGCAGGCGTTTTGAAACGCCTGCCTGCTACACTCAAGAAAAGCTCATCAAAAATGTTTAAAGTATAGGTGTAACTACAGAATGCATTAAAAACGCATTCTGAACGCATCTCAGAAAAAACTTTCAGTACAGCAACAAAGAAAAAAAAGAAAGGTGTTTCAGAAGAAGCTGGGCATAACAGTGATGCATAACAAATGCATTTTTTAATGCATAACTGTTATGCGCAGCAATACCTGTAACAAATTATTTGCTGGGTAATGAGTTTGTGCAGATGGAAACACATCAAGTTTAGGAGAATAGGTCAGAAAGATTGCCGCATGAAAAACACCCACAAAATCTTTTCTGGAACGCCTCCTTATCAGTTTTACGTGAAAGTCCGAAGAAATATTTACACAGTTCGAATTAATGTTCCATTTAATGACAGAAAAAAAATCTAATTGCATCTTAATTCCCGTCCATGATTTTTTCTTTTTGAATTGCTTACCCAATATCTGCAGCTTATGCGAAGGTTTAAAATACGGTAGGTATGAACAACAAATTCTGAATCTGAGCCAAAGCCATAGGTAGCATGCTCTGCCATATCCCTAAATGAGGTTCAGTACAGTAAAATCCGGCAAAATAGGACTGAAAATGCCCTGTTTTAATGACGCTAGCATCGGGAGTCTCAGACATCTAATAACGGTCGCAATTTACTCAACGGTGCACAATCTCACTGCGCAGCAGTGCTGAGAATCCTCCGTCGACAAGATTTCCCAGCTCCTGGACGGTTGAATGGAAAACATCGCTGTCATTACGGTAATTTTCCCCACACGTACGTAAGGCCTCATCAGGAATGCGATTACAGGGCGTGCCATGGGCACTTGAAGCACTCCCTGGGTGAGAGATGATTCCGAAAAAATGGGCTTCATGTGGAGTAGTCGTGAGACAAAAAAAAGTCCATCTCTCTTTTTCTCCACGCTAATTTGTATAGTTGATAATGTCGATTAGGGGCCCCGTGGGAATCGCCTCCTATGCGGAAATTGAGAGAAGCTTTTTCCGGTATACCCCGGCAGTTTCCTTTTCACGATTACGGAAGATTGCTCTGTGTCAACAATTTCCTCGAAGTGTCAGCGCAAACAATGTTGGCAAGAGAATTATCCTCTCCGGTGATCGAGCAGCGTGGAGAAGTACTCAACGGTGTGGTCAGCAATTCTCGCAATTGTTCTGCAATTCCAAGAGGATTTCTTGCAGTATATCGTGTGCAGCACTGGCTAAAATCTCACATTTTTCTTCCTATCCCACAGATACGCATCTAAGAATGGATGGCAATTACGCGATGTCGTCGTATATCTTGCTTGTTGAAAAATTCTCCAATTCTTAGTTGCGGAAATTTTTAGCAAAAAAAAGTTTCCGCTTGATTTCCCATCGACTGACGAGGAATTAATGATCCGTGATCCGAAAGTGCTCCAGAACTGGATGAACCCCGAGGCTCTGAGCAGTGTTGACAGGCGAGTGAGTGCACTTGGGGGTAGAAAACCATTAACGCTGGGCTCATGTCACTTGAGGCTTGATCTTACTCAAGTGTAGGGTTGACACCTAGAGTACACTGCAGGAACGAACATTGTTATTGAGGTTGAGGAGCCAGCAGGAGCGTTGATTCCTGTTCGGGGGAAAAATTCCCAAGATGGAACTGTTTCTCCCCGTCAACATTGCTGGATGTTATAGCGCGAAAATTACTTCGACAATGACGCATTCCGGATGTTCTGTGCTTCAGCCTTTATGGGAAATGGCTCAGGCGTGATGCACGTATTTATAAGGGCGAGAGGAAATATGACCTTCAGATTAAAGTAAAATTCCGCTACAAATCTCTGTTCAATGAATTTTTCATTATACCGAATTTGTTCTTGGGTCCTGGCAGTTTTCCCGTTGGCGCCATTAAAAAAAATTAATTTCAACCAATTATTTTTCAGGCTGCAATCTCAGTATTATAAATTTACGGCCCTGCTTTCATGCATAGGCCACAGGGTTTATTCAATAAATGGCTGAAAATGGGGAACATTTGAAATTGGACAGGATTCCAACTTCTTCTAAGAACCAAAAGAACGTTCTGCAGAAAAACGATAGTGTTCAAAAAATACACAACATGATATATTTTTCGGAATTCAATCTAACATTTGGTAAAACCCATAAATCTCATTACACCGAATTTTAGCTATAACGAATTTGTAATCGGGTCCCTGGGAGTTCGTTGTAACGACATTTTACTGCTTTCGAAAAATGTACAGCACTGGGATTTTTATACATGCTCAGGACATATTTCCGCGACTATGGGGAACACCTCTCAACCCAAAAGAGGCGCTGAAATGCTAGGGCCAGGTGTACTTTCAAATAAAAATCCAGGCTAAGCCGCAGTGGCTGGAAATTACGACCTAATGTAAGCCAGATCAAATGGGTAAAATTCGATCGATTAGGAAGATGTATCCTACAAAAAGCATGCCGCGGGAAAAGTAACCAGTAGTTACCCGGGCGTTTCCGTGGTGCTTTAGGATGACTCAGTATCACAGCATCACTGCACTATTTTAAAAAATCCCATGGAATATTCGAAAGAATTCTTAGCTCTTCTCTCAGGTTTTCCGCGCCAAATTCAATTATTGCTTTAAAACTCCCGTTGCAATTGAATAAATGCGGTATGCAATTCGTAGTTTTAATTCTGGCTGATAGAAACCTGTTGCTGATACTAAGCACTGTAAAATACTGTAAATTCTTTAACCAAAAGCATAGTATTTTTTGTCGCAAAATTTGAAATATGTGTTTAATTTTTAATCATTTATT